ATGTATTTGAAACTAAATGTGTGTGTGTGTGTGAGGTTTTTGAGTTATAAATGTCTTTCATTTATAAAGTTATTTGTGAAAATGAGTGGGTGTTTGAATTATAAATGTCTTTTCTTTTATTAATTTATTTATGATCATGAGATCATTTTGTTTACATGATTATGTGGAAGAGATTGAGGTACAATTTGTTGTACTTATGTAGGTAACAAATTTTATTTTTGCATATAAAATATAAGATTTATTTTCACACCTTATTAGACGTAGTTACTATTCACGGGTCTTTGTGCTCATCCAAACATTTAATATTTTTCAGGTGAGGATCAAGGGGAGAAGTAAGTCCCCGGATAGACAAAGGATTAGAAAATTTAAGATTTATTTCATTGTAGGTCTTCAAGAATAAATGTCTTTTATGGTTTTGAGACAAATATTTAATTATTTTTGGGATTAATGTTGCTCATGTTTAGACTTTAGAGTTGTGAACCTTATAGTTTAGTTATTGTTTTACATGAGTTTAATAACGGTGTTGGTGATGTTTAGTTTATTCCTCTGGTATTCATTAGATCGGTGAAATGGATCACTTTATTATTTGTCTTCCGTTGTATTTTACATTTATTATGCACAGGGTTAGTTGGTTAAGGTCTTGGTGGCCGGTCCGCTGCTCACCCTATGTGATCCGGGGTGGGGGTGTGACACTGGTCACTCTCCTCTTTAGGGCGTTTCCCCTTTTCAATTCTAGAGCTTTCATAGCGTGGCAAGGGAAACTTCTCGGATGACGCTGGAGAGCTGGAGGCAGGCAGAACACGTGTAATCATCCCCAAGGCCCTGTCAACCTCATAAGAAGTGGGGGAGATCTGCCCTTGCTCAAGAACCTCGCTAGGAGCGAACAAAGATATCTAGAGGATAGGACCCTCTATAACTTGCGGAGTGGACGAAGGCTAAATGATCAAGGGTTGAGTTGAAATAGGAGAGCTGGGGGCACACTTGTCTTCGGTACCTTGGGTGGAGGAGCAGATTTGCTACCAGAGCCAACCTCAACCTTACGTTTACCACTACTCTTGGTCTTCTTTAGCTGAGAAAGCTTAGCTTGGAGCTCTGCTGTGGAAGGCTTCATCGCAGAAGAACCTAAGGACCTAGAACATGTAAAAATAAATAAGGTGCAAGAAGAAATGGGAGAAGCCAGAGACGGAAAGGTCGGGGTATTACCAGCTGCCTCCTCCACGCTGACAACTGAGAGGGGGATCAGGGCTTCTATCGTTACCTCTAGGAGACTGAACCCTTGCATTACGAGAACCCAAAGTTTGATGAGCTAGGAGTACCTCTCTGAATTGCAACCTTTTAGGAATAGCAAAGCTTGCCTATCTATAACATTGAGTTCAGGTCGAATACCTGAGAAGCAGAATAAGAAAAGCAAAAAGAGGTCAGCACAGAAAGTCATCAAAGTTGATCTTAGCTCACTTAGACAAGGGCTTACCCAAGTTATCAGGGGCTTTCCAGGCCCAAGGGATGGGAAGAGAATCTGAGATGTCTACAGGATTGTATTCCCATTGATTACCCCCACGAAAAAGAAAATATTTTTTAAACCCTTGTGGGAGCTAGGGATGTCAGAGATAATCATTTTGGCTTTAACCCGTTTGAAAATATACAAGAAACCATTGGAAGGAGTGTACTTAACATTAAAATACTTCATAAGCAAAGAGACAGTGGGAACCCCAAGTTTATGCTTCCTAAAGAAGACTCACTAGAACACCCCAGAATTTAGGGGAGAACTGAGCAAGACAGACGTTAAAATGCTGCAAAACACTCTTGATAAATGGGTGCATGGGAAAACGAAGACCGTTCTGAAAGGTGGCCACAAAAAAATAAACCTTCTTATGAACCTAAGAGACGTACGAGATGAATTTATCTGGACACCAGGAGGAAAGCCAAAACGAGCAATAAGAACTTTCATGAGGGAATGAGAGACCTCACTAGAGCCCACGAGTTCTACAATTTTAAAAGCAGCCCCTGCACCCTCAGTACTGCTTGATATTCTAATGCCACTCACCTTGGCCTTACCTTTTTTAGGGTTTTTGGGCATAAGGGAGGCTGATGAGGGAATCTTCTCAATTTTTCCCTCAACATCAACAGAATCAACACCGGGGAATTTATCAATCTCCCCACCAACATCACCTAAATCGGAAATCCTCCTCAACGAACTTGTTCCCTAGAAAGGAAACAGAGGAGAGGGTAGCTCCGAAAGAGGCGGACATAACTAGGCACGAGAAAGGAAGTTTAAAAGATTTGTAAAGAGGAGGAACCCCTGAAAAACACTCCTTGAGGGTCAAGTGGCAAAAAACCAGTGACCAATGATGAAAATCCTAGCGGTGGATTAAGGATCTAAGAAGAGGGGAAGGGGAGACAAAGAAAAGCCTCGATTCTTTAAGTAGCAAAATCGAAAGGTCCAGAAATGCAATAACCACCTCAAATTTGAGGGATCCAGAACGAAAAAACACATAAGGGACAATAAACGTACCTAATCAAAGGTGGATAGCAGACCAGAATTCCCTCACTGAAAAACAAAGAGTGAGCCTCACAAGCCAAGTGGAGAAAGGGTGAAAGTTAGCAAAACCGTAAGATCTCCAGTAGATTGGGGAAACAGGGGATGCGAGGAAGAAGAAGAGTCTAGGGAGAGAATTCAAAGAGCGAAGTAAGGACCGTCCCCCTTCAACTCAGTGGCATTTAAAGCTAATGGTACAAAGTAAAACACGTGCACGGGAATCGAGAAAAATATGATTACTGGGAATTGTCAAAAGGACCTTTACGGATGCATAAATCGAGGTCAACGTGAGATACAGACCAGCTTTAGTGCAGCTCAACCCCTGTCTAAGCCAGCTTGGACCAAGGGCTGGGGGACAACTGATGATATTGAATAAGAATTTTAACCAAGTATAAGCTCAAAAAGCGAGATCAGACAAGGAAGGAGGTCAAATGGGGAGCTTAAAGCCCAATTCCCGAGCTTCTCTCCGAGGAACCAAGGAAAGAATAGCTGGTCAGTAGGAAAAGTCCACAGAACAACTAAAGGGAAGCGATCAAGGTGTGAAACTCTCAACCACCCGAGATCCTTTCCTAAAATCAGGGAAAATCCCGCAAATGAAGAGCAAGGATCTCACTGCAGATCCATTAGAGATACAAATTGTGCTATAAATACTATACAGTGCCTCCTTGAGAGACAAGAAAAAACCTAATACCATGAGAGATAATTTGTAAGCCATATTGACCATCAATATAGAAAAAAGGAAAAAAAACCTCCATTAAAGAGTGGATTAGCCGAGCTCTTGAGCCGGTGAACCATTATATATTCATTATGCAAACTACCCTAATCCTTTAACAATACTTCTCACAATCCTCATGAGCTTAGCGGCTCAGGTGCGAGCTACCAAGCATAATTCATATCTTCTACTCAATCTCGCTAATTTACGCCATCATATTTAATTGATATTTAAACTAGGATCCAAATATTCTTGCCATTGATAGCACAACAAGGGAAGAGAGAAAGAGAGAGAGAGAAATCAATCTCCAAAACTTTACACACACCAAAAGAGAGAGATATCTGTTGGTTACGAGACAAAGGTATTTGGAGGAAAAATTAGTCCCAAAGACAAAATTTTAGAACTTCTTTGTAACTATCATGTTAAAAGATAAGTGATAAGTAATTTTGTATTAATCGTATAAAAAATTAGCCTTTTTCAGATATATACTATTTGAATATAATTTATTATCATAATTTATTGGTCCACTTCATTTTTGTCCTCAGATTAGCGGTGAGTCTTGATCTCGCATCTAAGCTCTTGATAATCTGACAGCACAGTCTCTTACGTCTTTCTAAGAGAGAAATTAAGAACAGTGAGTCTTGATCTCACCTCTAAGCTCCTGATAATTTGACAACACAATCTCTTACGTTTTTCTGAGAGAGAAACTACGAACAAAAATGGATGATCAGGTCATTTTCCTTTATCATTTGACAAGATCTTTCATCCCCCCCCCCCCCCCATCATCATAATGGCATGGCATACTTAATTATTTCTTAATCTAGTTATGTTAGGCTCTTTAACCATTGTTGTTATTGGATAATTTTTATCATCTATACTATAACATCTATACTTTGATTCAGCAAATTGTGTCGGACAAATTGAGTCAGCAATATCAACAGTTTTACCGGTAAAACATAAGTGGGCATAAAACCACTAGGCATCAACAAATGCAACTTTGTAACCAAACAGACCTATATACGATCAAGCCAATATGTATCCACTAATCAGGAACTTTCAGGTTGCTTCAAGACAAAATCGACTTTAATAATGTCAATTGGGCAACCTGGTGCATGTTCTGGTTAAAGACATAAAGCTTCCTACAAAAGCCATGCCTATGCTTTCTTTTACTGTTTTTTTTATCTTTGCTTTTTTCACTTTCCTAGGTACATTTCTTTTTTCAACAGTTAGGATTGTTCAAACCAACTTATTTGTACCTCGACTAATCTCTTTCTCGATCCAATCAAAGGTAGATCATCCACGCCGTAATTAAGGTATTCATAAAGAATAAATCCCTCATGGTCCAACTTCAAGAAATTACTAAAATTCGAATTCAGAATATTTGAATTTTTGCGACCACCCTCCCTCTTCCTTCACCCATTGCTTCAATTCGAATTCAAGTGCCCATTCCTTCTTTGGAGAATTAAGAAATTTCTTGTCAAACAAATGCCTTGTAACACAAATGTACAACCATTGAACACTGATCATAACAGAAAATCATCAAAAAAGATCTGCCAAATCTTATTTCACTAAGACCCAATTTGAAAAATGGGTAGAAGCAGCAAACATGAACGAGAGAGAGAGAGAGAGGGGGGGGGGAGAGAGAGAGAAATCTACATATATACTATCATTGATAACCTGAACTAACCATACGAGAAAGAAATACCGCGAATTTGGACCGTGGTACTGGCTGGTTCTGTCACTACGAGAAATTTATTTAGACCTGGTGCTGCAGTGTGGATGTATGCTACTCCCATTTATTGGAAACTGAAGTTGACAATTCAAATGCAACCAAAACTTAACAGACCCAAGAAGCCCAAGTCTCCAACGAGTCCGTGTAGTTCCTCTCAGATCAAAAGATACTCGATTCTGCCTCAATGAAAAGTATAAAACTTCAGCTTCTTGTGGGTTTAATGGAATAGGAGAGGACTCAACAAGGTAATGGAATTCAATGGAGCTATTTTTCCTCACATCAAATGGTGCTGCAACCAATTTTGCTATCTCCAGACCACTGAACCCGAGAATGAAACTTGTATCGTAGAAGCTTGAATGTGCTTTGGTATTTCTGTTCTCTGCCTTGATGACAATGGAGATTTGAACAGTTAGTACACTGGCCACATCATAGAATATATTGTCAAGATGAGCCGATTTGACACTGACAACCGGCATCTTTGGCCGTATAACGATGTAACCGACAAACACAACAATGCCGGTGATTATCACTACTGTGGCTAATATGGCACATATTACAACTGCGCCCCAAATAAACAGGCTCGTGTGGCGTTCGCGTAACACTGGATCAGGCATTGGGTTGATGGTTCGTGTGTGCAGAGTGACAACATCCGGAGAAATGTAGGGGATGTTTTCGGGTTATATGCTGGAGATGATGAATTTGAAGCCCCTATGAAGCTTGCCAGTGTATAGAACTACCTTGGGTTCTTAGCTCAAATTGGTGGGAAGGGTTAGGTATCTTCCTTGCCTAGAGATAAAGTCACCACTCTTAAATCTTGTGCTCTACATGCTTCTGTTTCCAGGAATCTAAGGCACTTTTACACTCAAAAAGAAAAATACTAAACTTGGATGATCATATGCTTTGTAGAAGCACCAGGCCTTCAACCTTTATTCACAGTTCAGATTCAGCTTTAGCTTATAAAATAAATTCCAGAAACATGGTGAGCTTTTGATCTGATAAATATGAGCAAAACGGGTTTATCCGAGTTGTCAACCTCCAAAACACCAAACACAACCCATCGTCCATGGTTAGTTGTATTATAAGAGGTATTAAAGAGTCATATTGAATTAAAACACTTTAGTACTGAAAATCGTTTCTATTATATATGAAATTAACTAGATAAGTATCTCATACACGTAAATATTAAAGGAGAGATAAAAATGACAAAATTATCCTTTGTTATGTAAATAGATTAAAATGCCACAATCCTTTTCTCATTAAATTTTTTATCATTTTAAAGCGTTGCATGATAATTTTGTTATAATATTAGTCACCATATTATCACTTATTTGGTTAAATAATCGAGATTTTATCATTTTTATAGTTAAAAATAATTTTTTTATGATAAAAACTATAATTGATAAAGTCAATGTCAAAATCCCATCAATTTCTAACTCTTTTGTTATTGTATCTCCTCTACAATGTCATGCGATCACTCTTCACATATCACCTTTTATATATAAAATTTAAATATTATTTGGTAAAATTTAATATTAATTGAATAAATTTAATCTTAATTTGATAAATTTAAATATCAATTTAGTGTTATTTTGATAAAATTAAATATTAATTTAGTGTTAATTTGATAAAATTTTATGTTAATTAAATAAATTTGAATATTGCTTTAATGAAATTGAATGTTCATTTGTTGTTAAATTAAATAAATGACATTAATTTGATAAGGTTAATTATTTAATTAATGAAATTTAATATTCTATTTAATATATTAAATTTTAATTTAGTAAAATTAAATGTAAATTTGGTATTAATTTGTTGAAATTAAATAATAATTTGATGTTAAATTTAAGAAATAATATTAATTTGATGAAAGAAATATTAAATTAATATAACTAAATACTAATTTGATAAAATTAAATATCAATTTTATGTTGATTTGATGAGATATAATATTAATTTAGTTTAAATTAAATAAAGGACATTAATTTGATAAAATTAAATATTAAATTGATGAATCTAAAGCCTAATATAATAGAACTAAAAAAGAATGCATTAAAATTTCGAAATTGAGAGGAAATGTTGTTAAAGTTAAGTTATTTATAGTGAGTGTTGTTAAAGTTCAGTTTATTTATAGTGAGTGTTGTTAAAGTTAAGTTTATTTACAAAAATGTGAATAAAATTTATCCTATAAAATACTTAGAGATATTTCTGTAAATCAACAATCTCAATTAATGCCGTAACCCGAGAAGCACTGACAAGGGATAACAACGAAATTTCAGAATCAGAAGAAGGTGTCATTGAATTTAAAACTAACTACAAAAGGTGTGAATAAAATTTTTCCTAAATTTTATCCATCTATCCAAAATTATCCTAGATTCTTAGTACAGTCCCTTTTTTATTACGGCATCCAAAACGACTTACGAAACTATTGATATAACAATTTTGTTGGAAAATGTCTACGGGTACACCAATCAGTTCATGATTTTTCATAAATCTCCTCCTTTATTGGGTCAGAGCCAATTAGATCATAATTAACCCTCTCTTTTAGTAATGGGTATGAGTGTTTCTTCCAGTGCACAAGCCTTACTTAGTGAAGAATGTCAGCTAGTAAACAACAAACACAAAAGCAGGTCCGGTTTTCATTTCAAAGCTTCCCCATATTCATTGAATTGTATACCTCAAAAATGATCAAGAACCACATTTTTCCTTGCACTAGCATCACCAAGTTTAACTCCACCTTATAGTAGTATTGTTCCATGTTGAAGAGGATCTTGCAACTGGGTTGTTGTGATTATAGGTTGGATGTCTAATTATTCAGACGGTAATGATAGTATCATACACCAGAACCAATGGCTCACTTTTTTCTAAGGAGAAGAAAACCAAAACATATCATTGAAAGACCACACTGAGACAGAGACGGACTGTCAAGAACACAGAAGAGATAGGAGGAGCAGGTTGCCATATCTAGTATGAATCATACATAAAGGGTAGTTGGAGTTGACGACTCTCCTAGGGTTCCCCTCATCTGTTATCACTGGGGAAGATGATTTCCATTGATTCTTGGATAAATAGTGGAATTTTTTTATAAAATTTGGGTAAGAATATCCACCAAAGTGGAAAGCCATTACTTGATGTGTTTGGTAACAGGTGAAGCCTATAGGCTATTCCCATCTCGCTCGGGGAAGATGCCAATCGTCTTTCCTTTCTACGAACACAAAATAGTCAAAGTTTCCAGTAGAATTTACTGGCACAGACTTCAACCAATAGTTTATGTCTGCAAACAATTTCAACTTTTGATCAAGTAATCTTAATAAGGACTCATAAAACAATAGAAAAAATTCAAGCAAAAATAAACGAGGACCTTTATTATAGTTATGAGTCATGTTGATCTTACAGTCGATACCTTCATTGCTGTTGAAGTTGCACTCCTTTTCCCAACTTATCAACATTTCACAAGTCCCAACTAATCTGAGCTTAGCACCGAAAAAATGGGCACATTTATCAGTCTTTTAGAGTTGTTAAGTCAATATTCTAATCAGATCACTCATACTTATCCAGAAACACCTAAAACGAAATCCAAGAAACTTTTAAGGCAAGATAAATGATACCTCTATAACCATAACAGTCTTTGGCAAACAGTCAGTAACTGATCGGTAAAACGTAATCCAAGAAACTTTTAAGGCAAGATAAATGATACCTCTATAACCATAACTGTCTTTGGCAAACAGTCAATAACTGATCGGTCCATCCCATTCAAGTAACATGGCTGCATTGCACCACTTTACCTGATCAATTTATTGAAGAACAGAGCATTGTCAAATGCCTCCATTTTTTTATAAGAATAAATGCAAATTGTTTTCTGGTGTGCTAAAAAAAAATGGTTCTTGATGAACTTCATGGTTATTGAAATAGAAAAAACATAAAAAATTATTCAGGCAAGCAGAAAGCTCTTTAAAAGAGCAAATAAAATAGCTTGTTCACTCAAATAGCAGCAAATGAACCTGCTTAAGATTCATCACCACGTGAGATCCTGAATGTGAATCCTTGTACACATATATACTTTTTAAAAAAGAGAAAGAAATAGCTATTCTCATCTTCGGCGTCAAACTATCTTAGTTGACTACACGAGACAGTTTCCAAACACCAACTGGGGACACTCCTAAGGCCTACTATGCAGCTCTCATGTCATAGGCAAAAGGGAAGGAAACAAGGGAAAAAGTGTATGAGGAGGAGAAGAGGAATTGGATGCCAGTGTCCTAGACCGGAGGTCAGAGCAGAAAAGGTCCAAAAAGAGCAACTAAACTTCAGAGTAAAAACATGTCAAAACAGTTGCAGGTACATACCTGTGTATTGTTGAGCAGGTGACAAATGAGATTGCTGAACATGAAACCATTGTGGTTTAACTTAGCCAAGGCTGACGCAGTCATTCCAAGTATACATAAATGAAAGGCTAGTTGTGGACTTGGGGTATCCCAATCAACATCATGCTAAGACCCGCTTTAACACTATTATTATTCTCAAACCAACCCTCCCAGACCTCTTACAGTCTTACTATGCCTTTCTAAGCTAGTCGCCTGAACAAGCCGCCTCAATATAAGATGATGCATGTCCATTTCAAAAACAAAACACACATACATACACACAGAGAAGCCCCAGTTGAGGCACCCACACGAGACTAGGGTTGTTACCACTGGGGGGCAATAGCAATCCAATGCATTAACCTCAGACTCAGAAACCATGCTCAGTGCCAGACTGCCGATGCGCTACCACCTTTCCTACTACTGCCATGGAGCTACAAGCAGCCATGGAAACCACTCAAAAGTCAGTCAAAAAGAGGATTACGTCCACCATCATCCAAGCACTCAAAAATGCTAACCTGATACCCCTCCAATGGAAAAGCATTTTAAATCAAGGTTTTCGAAGGGATTACCATCGTGTAATCAAAGTTAGTAAAACAACTTAACTTCCCTCGGTCAAACTTCTATGTGAATAGTCCATAAAAGTATAACTCCAACTAACCAACCACCCTACAGAAACAAAAACGTAAGGCAAACACAATGAAAAGGAAAAAGGCCACAGTCTTGCTCCTCAATTCTTACCCTTGCAGTGATTGAAGGATTCTACCTCATGGCATACTGATAGATCTCATATTCGTTCTGAGCCAAGATCAAACTCGTGGCTGTTAGCATCACGAACATAAGGAACTAGGTCTCGCTATGGGTACGAATCTCCATCCGGTGACTCTGGATCCTAACATGCTGTATCTGGTGCTTGTACTGGTTCGGAACTGGGTAAAGGGATGTTGATCATGTGGTGCTGAACTTCTCGAACCAAGCACGAGGAGCCTGTTTTAGACCATAGAGAGCCTACTCATTGAATAAAGGGCCAACAAACCTAAAGAAAAAAGCATTTTTCAAGTATTATTTGATGGGCCAAGCCCAAGAGCCCAACTCATGTTATAAGTCCAATCTAAATAAAGAGTCCAACTAAACAAGATCCAATGGGTCCAACCCAAATGAGGTCCATGCCCAATCAAGCTCATCAGGGTTCGAGGAGCTACATCACAAAGGGAGGAGGAAGGGTCATCTTAACCACCTTGGAGTAAGGGTCATCCCAA